TCTGCTGGGGATGCAGCCCAGGGCACATTGGTGGCTCATGTCCAGCTCCTCACCCCCCAGCACCCCCAAGTCCTTCTCCTCAGGGCTACTCTCCATCCCTTCACCCCCAGCCTGGATTTGCGCTTGGGTTGCCCCCACCCACGTGCAGCACCTTGCACTTGGCCTTGTTGAACTTCATGAGGTTCCCACAGACCCACCTCAAGCCTGCCAAGGTCCCTCTGGATGCCATCCCTTCCCTCCAGACCCGGAGCTCAGCGCAGCGGAGACCGGCCGGGAGCTCACCTGGGCGCTGATCCGGGCCACGAGGAAACTCTTCCTGTTGTCCAGCATGGACTTCTCCAGCAGACACTCCTGCGCCTGGCCCTGAGAGGGGAACACCCGGTTTCCCCTGCGCCGTGGGACACCCCGCTGTGCCCACGCCAGCACCCCGACCCCTGGCAGGACCCCCCCAGCTTCTCGAGGGGTCAGCGGAGCACTGTAAACCCCAGCCCCGAGAGCCCGGGCACAGAGCAGCCCCTCCTCCCCGCTGCCTCCCCAAATCCCCTTTTCTCTACTGGGAGACCCTCAAGCCCACAGCAGCCCGGACCCCACGGAGAAGAGCCCCACGGGGTCCCGTCTCACCCCGCTCCAAGTGCTTGGACCCCACAGGGAGCATCCAACCCTACAAACAACCCTCCCAGCCAAGCAGCAGCTGCCCCTGAGGCACCCAAGCAGCCATCCCAGTGCGACCAGTGCCCCGGCAGAGGCAGACCCCAGTTCCTACCAGCATGAGGTTGATGTTGAGGTTGAGGATCTGGTGGCTCATGTCGACGCTGTAGGAGTGGGGGAAGTGATCCCGCAGGTAGGTGAACGCCCCGGCAGCGCACTGGAAATGGGTGCAGGAAACCTTCATGCCCTGAGGAGATGGGAGAAGACGCATCGGGCGTGCACGGCCCTCTCGCACCCGCGCCGAGCCAGCCCATGGCCGCGGGCACGCGCTGCCGGACGCGAGGAATTCATGGAGACCTTGGCAAGACTGGCAAAGCAGTGCACTCCC